GTGATGCACCACCTGCCTCCAGGCTGAATGCTTAGATGTCAGGGTTTCCCATCTGTTGAGGTCCATTCCTAGGGCCTTCAGATGCCGCTTGCAGATATCTTTATATCACAGCTGTGGTCTCCCTCTGGTGCAATTTCCCTGCACTAATTAGACAAATAAATAAAATAAATAAATATCTGTTCCATACTGTTCACTGGCTGAACAAATGAGAGATAGATGGAGATCAAGGACTAACAGTGAGCATTAGAGATGTGGGAAGGAGGAAAAAGTAACATAGGGCTAGAATGGTAAAGAACGAGTTTTGAGCAATTAAGTGTGTATCCTCTCCCCCATGAGAATAATTCTTTGATAGAGAAGAGATCTGCTCCATTAATAAATATAATGAATCTGATATCTTTGTCTTAGCTACCCTTTTTACAATTGATTGAACAAACCGTGTTTGTATAGTAGGAACGCCTACTTGGCAAAACTAATGTGTATGCAACAAGTTAGCACACATACTTGGTAAAAATATAATGTGAACATAATGGAAATGCAAACATTTGCTTAGCAAAATTGTTAACAAATCTGTCTCTTTAGCTTTTCTGTACAGACTTGCCGCACACAAAACATCACTTTTGTCATTATGACTGCACTCTGTACTGACTGTGTGTAGACAAAATGCAGAGTTCATACAACACTGACTATGGAACAAAGTCAAGACAAATCTTAGTCTCCTGAGTCCCCTTCGGTAACACAATGTATACATTTCACTGAAGATTTGCCCACATGAATGCAGAAGTTGTGTGTGTTTTTTTTATATATATATCAGTTTCATGGAGAATTGGAGATATGCATTGAAACTTTCATGGGTGTGTCTTTTACCCTCTCTTATGCTTTGATAACAGCACCACCACCACTATCTTAGAACTGCAGAGCTGGAAGGCACCCTATGGATCATAGGGTCTAGCCCCTATCAAGGAGGCCCAGTGGGGAAATGAAACTCCTGACCTATAGCTCCCAGATACTCAAACCACTGAGCTCTGAGGTATCTAAATTCTGTAGAGTTCTTTCTCCTCCTCCAGGATATTCAAGTTGAGGTACACTGTGAACAGTCTCTGGGCTGACTGTGTGAGTTTCCATTACCAATGTGGAAAACTACATTTATTTATTTATTTCACTAATTTATATACCGCCCCATTAGTGCAATGCAGTGTTGTGCGTGGTTAAGAGATGATAAAATTAAACAAACCGAAACAGAAGCAGCAATGAAAATCACAGAGATAAATGATAAAACACATCAGCTCATCTTTACCAATCATGTTCCATTTAATTCTTGAATTGCCAATTCCATTTGATGGACCTTCTTAAAAAAATCAACACAAAACTTGTTAGTTTAGTTATGCTCACAATGTTAGCTGGAAGTCTCTCCTCTGTAGCAACTGCAGCTAAGGCAGACACTGCTGTTCTAGGCTTGTTAGATATTAGGAAAGAAAGGATTTCGGCCTACGCAGTTGCATTGCAAGTTATCCCAGAGGCCACATTCAGTATATGAACAAAACAGAATATAATAGATTCTGGGTCCTTTTAAGGAGAGGGACGGAGTAAAAATATTTTAAATAAATAAATACAATTCTTCATGTGGGTAGACAAGGTTTCCTGCTTAGGAGGAACAACGGTTTCAACAGATGTTTTGTATTTAAGCTTGTTAAGGAATGGATTCTACTGAAAGTAGAATCTTGGTGTTCTCAAATTTTGCTTAAGCTTTGAATAGATGCATACATTTTCCTCTTTAATGTTAGTTGATTTCCTGACATATATAACATCCTAGGTGAAGAGGGGGTGGTTGGAAGCAGTGTTGGAGAGTGGGGAGAAGAAAATTTCTGCATGCCTTTCTAGTTTTGACATCTGTATTTGTGACACATGGGAGTGCATTCTTAATATAATTTTACACATGACAGAAAACCTTTGAAGAGAGACTCACTAAAGTACCTATTTGAGGCATGGGTTTATGTAACATTTCAGTCATATTTATCCATTCTGTCTTGAAGTGTATACTCTTCTTAGGTGTTTTGCTGTGAGTTATGTTAAAATTGATTTATTCCCCTCAGTGGTGTAAATTCATGATTCTTGAATATTTGATGAGCTATGGTAAAAAATTTATTAACTGAAAACTGAGATTGAATAGTTGTAGGGAATTACTTGGGATTATGTTTGCTTGGCTTTGTCTTAGATGTTAATGACTTTCAGAATAAAAAAGCGATACTAGTCAGAGAAAAAGCTCTGTCAGTGCTGATACGGCAGGAGTGCTTAACACTGACTTGCATTTTAACTACTATTTCAGTCTTGAAATGCTTGGACGTGGATTGAGTCATGCAATAGCTTTATCACTTCCAAGGCTGGGATTCTAGACACTGACATTGGATTTCACTGGTGACCCAGTCAGATTCCGAGACTCTCTGAAGTGACATACAAGGACATTTGTTCAACATATTCTCAGCTCTGGCTTTGTTTAACCCCTCCCCTCCCCAACACATGAGCACTTTACTTTGTGGGATCTGGCAAATTTTCCTTGGAGCTGGAGAATCCCAATTGTTTGAAAAACAGCATTTTGTTCCCTTTATGATCTATATGATCAACAAAGTTGATCACACATTGAACTGTGCTGTTGAAACTTGCCTGCTTCAGGTAGGGATGTATACATTCTTAAGTCCTTTTAATGTGTTCTCTTTCAGGGTTGCATCAGTGTATGTGGAGGGGGGTGTACTAGTCTTGTCTTCCTCCTTCATCACTCTGCTGATGTGAAAACTGATGAGTCTGAAATGGAGAGCCTCCGGTGTGTGTGAAGGCTCCCCATGCAAGCCAGAATCAGAGTTCAGAATCACATAGAAAGGTTACACACAGATAGGAGGCTCTTTACCTCACACCCTCAGGTGGAGAGGAGCAAGGCTAGTGTGCTTCCCCCTTTTTATGTTGGTTTTAACCTAGAAGGGAATATATGAACAGGACTCTAGTTCCACATTTTCCAGGAAAAGTGAGAGGGCCAAGTATGCTTTCATTGATGCACATGTTTGTGAGAGATAAATAAAATAAGTTGCATTGAGTGTAAGATTCTTTGAAAGACATCAGGATTATCTTGCTAGATCTGTATGTTTGTCTGTCCCTTCAATTCAGCCCACCTCAAAGATGTGTTGACTTGAGGAGCATCCATTTTAACTTGACTGATAGGATAGAGAAGCTGAGAACAGACTTAGGAAACACCCTGAGGCAGGTGGTCACAAAATAGTCAGTGTTTGCCAGGTGTTTACCTCTCTACTGTAGAGTCAGAGAAACTGAGCGTGACAACAACGCTACTGTGATTCTTTAAAGCCTGCTTTAAAGGAATGCAGTTTAGCTTTAGCTGGAATAAACTCTGAACATATCTAACAGCAGTATCTGGCTCTGGCATGCAATAGTTTGTTACATTTAGTGCTTCAGGCTAGAAATAGCCATTTCAAATACTCAACTGACATCTGTGAAGTGGTATTGCTATTGTAAAGATGGATTGTTTGTGGATTGGAGCCAAAATAAGCAAACAAAGGTGTTAATGAGGTTTACTTCCAAGAGGCTTAGGGATCCACACAATTTGATCTTATATTGCAGTTTGCTCTGGAGAATGTGAATAACTATATCTGTGGCATAGTTTAACTTTTTATTTAGATTCCCCTTTAGGAGATTTATGGGGATTCATGGTATAAGTGATAAGCCCTTTGGAAGATGAAATGTGTCCTCAGCATCTGTTGTTTATACATAAAGAGACAGAGATGTTGGAAAAAGAAATTAAATTGTGTACCATTTCAAGTCTGTCAAATGGAGTTGGCTGGCTTACTAATGGATTTGCTGCTCCATTAAAGAAATGAGGGCAAAATCTTCAGTGCTCAGAATGAACTTTCATACATTTTATGAGATGAGTGAGATAAACTGGAGGTGCCTATCCTGTATTCCTCTGGATGAGCAGTGATATCCACTAGGAATCATCAGATATGACCTTCTTCAGCATTGTACCTTGACTTTAGAATTCAAGTTTCACAGTGTTGATATTATGGCATTTCTTTCAATCATAGTTACATTTCTCCCCATTTATTGGGTTGTGAGATTTGAAAAACTTGTGTGTATGTTTTTCAAATATATTTAAGGGTGATGAGTCTCCCTGCTTAGTGGTTCCCAGCCTTAGGTCCTCAGATGTTCTTGAACTGAAACTCCCAGAAGTGTTTACCACCAGTTGTGCAAGGTTGGGGACCACTGATTTAAGAAGCAAGAAATGTATAGTATAAGTTTTATATGGAGAGAACTCTTATCAAGTTGGGGTGTGTACTAAGTAGTATATACAGTAGAATACATCATCACAGAGTCACTTGGTAATTTAGTTAAGTGAGGGGGGGGACTGCTGGTGTTAAGTATTGGAACAGAAATCTAAGCAACATAATATTTAATTTGAAATTTAATATCTTTCCACTGTGTTTTCAGATGGCAGCAAATGATTCAGTATTACAAATAATGGCCACAGCCTGACAGTTCTATAGGCTTTAGTAGGTTTACCTCAGGGAGTTGTTATTAATAGTTACCAAATGGGGAGACTCTCGCTGTGAGAGGACTAAAAAGATTATATATAGTAGATTGAACTGTGGTTGTCTGATGGCTAGAACTCTGCCATAATAAAAGAGCCATGCAGTGGCATTTGGATGATTGACAAAAGTGTAATTTCTTTTTTCTTTCTTCTGACAGAAAATGGCAGTTCCCCCTGCTTATGCTGATTTAGGAAAATCTGCCCGGGACATCTTCACCAAAGGATATGGTAAATATTGCCAGGAAGAAATTGATTTTGCCTAGGTGGTTGCTTTCTAGGGTTTTATCCAAATATCTATTTCCTGGGAAGTTTTGCAGTTTGATGACCACAAGTGTGTGTTGATCAAACGGTGTCTCCCGAATAGGTCTTTCACAGTCAGTATGCTGTTGGGCAACGTTTGACTCCAGCTGCAGTCCTGTGGAAGTGAATCCCACTTCAAACAGTGAGAGTTTTAAGTTTAACACGAGCAGAATTGCACTGTCAGTCTACATGAAGGAGCATTGTCTAGTGTCCATATCCTTTAAGGTAAATTGGACTAGAAGTCCACAAAGAGTTCTTCTCAGTTGCACTGCTCAGATCTTCAAAGCCTGCCTAATTCAAATTTAGCTGTATTTCAGGCTTTAAAAAGAATAACCAATAGCTTACTTTCAGTGGCAAGAGTACAGGAAATGTTGATTTTGATTCTTCTGTGTTTGTATCAAGTTTTAATGTTGTTATTGTAGATCATGTTTAAGGAATTAGAATCATGCCTTAACAGTAGTGAATTAATGGTCTTAAGTGTCTGTAATTTTATAATGTTAGTAGAGAAGTACTAAATATGTGCCATTTGGATAACTTCTCATGATTTCTATTTATTGTGTTCAAGCTCTGTAGTGGTTGTTGAGGCAGTCATAAAATGGTTGGGATGTGTGTGTGCAGATTGGCAAGTACAACTATGGCCTTTGTATTTGGAGGCCTACCTTCCAATTTGTCTTTCATTTATCACAAAGAAGGGTCTTTGTTGTTCTTCAGAGTTGTCCATGTCACATTGAAATTCAGGACTTTTTCGTTTGTTTGTTTGTTTCTGGCTAGGTGCACTTCTTCTTTGTTTGCTGGGGGATGATTAAAATCCTGTTCAGCAACCCAAGGAGCATTTTGCAGGCTGTGTTCAGTTTGTGGTCGGGAGTTTGAAACCACTTTCTTACATGACAGATAGGCTAGTCTATTACAATGGCTCTTTTAATCATTAATGTCTGTCTGTCTGTCTGCCCATCTATTATAGACCACCAAGAACTAGAATTTCCTGCACATACACATTGAAAGGATAAATGCAAAATAACCAATAGTGATAGAGTCCAAAATAAAATGTCAGTGAAACCAAAAGCAAAGGGTAAAAGGGTACAGCACTAAAATCAAAGCATGTAAAGAAAAATGCAAACATCTAAAAATAAATTCTTAAAATGTCTGGGAGAATGGATATATTTTCACTGTGGCACTGAACAGAACATAGTTTAGGCACCTAGCAGCTTTCTGATGGATTTGACAGATAGGTTGCCACCACAGAAATGAGCAATGACCGTGTCCAGGTAGGTAGATGTGTATGGAAGTAATCTGACTCAAAGGCATTTAGGTAAGAACAGCACCTTGAATTGGGTTTAAAAGTGGATAGCAGCCAGTGCAGATGTCAATGTACTGATGTGATGTGATCATTTTGACTCAGCCTATCCACCTTATTTTGAACTAATGTGAGTTTGGGCTGTTTTCAAAAATAGGCAGCAGATAAGATACTGCAGCAGTCCAAAAACAAAAACACAAAAAACCCAAACAAACAAAAAACCTGAAAAACAACAACAACAACCCTGATATACCATCATGACATTGTCTGATAACACGCTAGGTCATGCTGGTATATCAGTATACTGTATATTGATGAAAAGGTCTCTGATCTTATTCAAGTCTCCTGTGATCAGAGAGAACCCCCTAGCTGTAGGCCTGATCCTTTACAACTGCTTTCAGAACAGGATAGACATCACTGAAGGAGAAAGGCGAACTGCCCTCTGCCATTATTAGATAATACAGTTTACATTTTGTAAACATTTGTACACTAGTTACTATGTCTCAGCTGGTAGTTCTGCAGCAAAATATGGTCCTCAGTAAATTAAGGGAGAGCTTAGTTCTGTGCTACAAAATGCCTTGTTAAAAAGGCAGGGTGGGAGGCAAGAGAAACTCTCTGGTTACATAGTAGATTGTGTGTTGTACAGATATATCAGAAACACTGTCCATTTGCCCCTCCCCATGTGTAGTTATTTAATTAACTAGTTCCCAGTGGGCACTAACTCATTTCTGGCTTGCTTTTTTTAAAAAAGGATTTGGCTTAATAAAGTTGGACTTGAAAACAAAATCTGAAAATGGACTGGTAAGTAAAGGAAAAAGCAAGAATGTTCATTTCTTATATAGACATTTCTAAAAATGCAAACTTGAATCTCAGCTTTCTCATTTTTTTGCATGGGCTGTATGTAGAAACCTGTGTGAATTTTATTTTATTAGAACATTTCCTTCAGCTTCTTCACAGTATGATGTCTGGGAATATGAGGGTTGAGAGGAAGAATGTGTGCAGTCCAAGACTGATTCTGTGATGTTTCAACCAACAGTATATAGATTGTATTTCATTTGCAATTAGGTGCTCCTTTTATCCATAGCTGCTCTTTACATTTGTACCTTCTTCTCTCTCCCTTCCTTCTCCTTCCATGATTTTATTTTACTTGCCTTTCCTTTAGGTTTTTATTTCTCTTTATATCCTTGTTGTTGGAAGTGAGACCCAGTCAACGCCTGTGACCAAATAGCTTCCTATGCCACTTAGCTACTCTCAACTGCAGGGCTGGCGGATTTCCAGAGGGCCAGGAGCCAAACATGCCCATCTTTGGATCTTGCACAGCCTTGCTTGCACAGTCTTTGCACACCCACCCCCACACCAATTATTTTCTTACAATAATTGTGGTGGTAGGGTTTTACTGAAAAGCCCCTTTGCACCCTGGGAGTGGGCAAAAACACTTACATTAAAAAACAAACAAACATTGAGTTTTGAGTGAAGACCCTAGGGCAGGGGTCAGGGAACTTTTTAACCTTTTTCCCCCCCCCCCCAAATGTATATACGCCAACATTACCCCCTTGATTTGAAAGGAAGAAAATCATACATTATTTAAATTCAAAATATTGAATCTACACAGGCTGTGTACTGAACTAGTGGGATATATCATCAATATCCGTGGCTGCCAGGCTATGTACTGAACTAGCAGGATGCACCAAATTTAATAAAGATATGCACCATTTTTGCTGGAACACATTGCACTCCAACCATGGGGAAGTATAGGGAGTAGTAAGATGTCCAATGTACCTAGCAAGTTGCATTAGATTTTTGCTAGCTCGCAGAGGATTTAATCATCATCAATGGCTGCCAGAGTGGTGCTAGCAATGACATGTTTGCTAGAGACAGCCAATGCAGAATTGGGGAGGCTTTTCCTACCACTTTAATCATTCTCCAGTTTGAGGTTCGGCTGCAGGGGGTGGGAGTGGGTGGGTGGGGGGTAGCACTCTACTCATTACCCCCAGGATTTTCATTTTTACCCCATTTGGGGTAATTTACCCCTGTTCCCAGACCACTGCCCTAGGAGTTGCTAGGAACCCCTCAGATGGAAATTGTCTCTACATACTCTCTAGAAGGCTCAAAAGGGGACTTTTCGGAGAGAAAAGATTGATTTGGGGGGGGTGCAAGGGGCCTCAGGAATGCTAAAGGGCTACATTTTGGCCCCGGGAGGTTTACATACAGTCTATAGGCTGGATGTTGCATATCTTAGCAAATTTCCTGTTAAAAAGGAGGGGTGAATGGTATTAAAAAGTAATTAGCTACATACAGTTAGTAACGACAAATGACACAAATGCTGTATGAACAGCAATAGAATCCTGACCAGTATTTTTTAAAAAAGATTTTAGAAATTTAGAATTACCAAAAAGGTTTCTCCACATTTCCCCTTTTTTCCATCAGAAAGGGTGGAGGAAAAAAGAGATGCTTCAGTTATGAGGGGTTTTAACAAGTGATGGGTGGGCACATCTCTTAACTGTGTCATAATTAACAGGAGGCAAGTAAGTTTTTGGAGGGGAAAAAAGGGTATTAGATTGTAAATTAATAGTGGGGTAGGAATTCATCTCTTTTATTGGTTCAACTAGCATTAAGAAATAGTCTCATTCTATATATTAATATTCTGTCCTTAGGAATTTACAAGCTCAGGCTCAGCAAATACAGAAACAAGCAAAGTTACTGGAAGTTTGGAAACTAAATACAGATGGACAGAATATGGTTTGACATTCATAGAAAAGTGGAACACTGATAACACACTAGGCACAGAGATAACTGTAGAAGATCAGGTGAGTATTAGATTTAAAATGGTAATGTATTTCATTCCAAGTAATCATCTTTCAACCTGTGATTGCATATGTTGAATTTCTTTTTCCTATCCAGCTTGCACATGGGCTGAAGTTGACCTTTGACTCTTCGTTCTCTCCTAACACTGGGTAAGGAATGCATACATTTGCACAGCAGAATAATCTTGTTTTTGTTTTATTTAATTACATGAAATATGCTCACTTATTTCGTCCTTTCCAATCTGAAGTGCAAGAATAATTAGTAACTAGTCTTTGCATATGATCTATGCACGTGATACATTTTCCTTTAATTTAATATTTCTGTTCAAGAATATATACATATATATCAAGTATGTTTTTAAGTGTATTAAAATAGCTAATGTTTGATTGTGTTGTCAGAGGTGCTGCTGCTTTCCGGTTGCACTGCACGTCAGGGGTCTTAAAAGGACAAACTAATAGCATCAGCAGTAAGCCATGCAAAATTGAATTAGAAGTGTTGTACAATTTTACTCTGAAAAGCTCAGATGTGGAATATGGTACCTCTTTTTCACCAAGTGGGATTTCTAGTCTACTGAGTTGCAGTCTGTAACCACTGCCCGGGTGAAGTGTTTTTTGGCTATGATTGTTCCTTGTATGTTATGTGGATTGGGAGGATTAAGCAGCTTGGAGATTATTTATAGTTAATGTTCATATGTGTGTGTAGGTGTGCGCGCGCATACATGGATGCCTTTATTATCTCATCCTTTCTAAATGCTCCTGATGTTAGAATATTTTGAAGCTCAAAGTAGCATTTCCAAGAATTAAGTCTGCATTTATTCTGTAAGATGTCTCCCTCTTCAGGTTCTGGATATGAACTTAAAATAACTTGCTGTTCTTTCCATTGCCCTCCCCATTTGGCTTCATAGCAGCATCATGCCCTCAGGCTTTTTTACCAATAACTTTGATTGGGATGGGGGGGAAATCTCAAATGCAAAAAGCTCTAGTATTAATGTGGTATCTGTCTTTCCAACTGAAGCTGAGAGTGCCAATAGAAATTATTAGATTAAGTGGACTCTTTGTGTCCTTGGAACAATTTTTAAAATTTCAACAGATAGGACTTTGTTGCTTTTAAGGGCAAAACCAGATATGATGCTGAATGCACCACTTGCCTGTTGTATTGTACCTCTCATTTAAAAGTTGGCAATAGTGGGCAGGCACATGCATGCGTAGACAGGCAAAAACAAGAATTTTTGTTGGGGCCATAGTATGGAGGAAGGGGAAGATAACCCTACCTATCCCTATTGCATATGCACACATTTTCCTTCCACTGAGCTATTAGTGCTGGGACTTAAAGCAGGCATGGCGAAAACTAGTTTCTATCAGAATGATGGTACAGGAGAAAAGGCTAACCTTCTGATGAAGATCCCCCCTATGTAATGCCTCTTATGAATAGTTTTTTAAAAATGAAAGCTGTGACACAGTTAATGTAATATCTATGGGGTATGGCAAAGTGTGGCACATGGACTTTATGGCTTAATTTATGTAGGGGTTTCCAACTAGCCACCTGGTAATCTGAGAGGAAGTGCATTCACTTCTCCATCTAAATTAATATGCAATGAGTGGTGGCAGAAAAAATAGAGTAAAATGGCTGCCATGTGGCCAGTGGTCAATGCTGTAAAGTGACAGTGGTGTAAGTCAGCTTCCTGGGCATATGAACTTATTATGACAGCTCTATTCAGTTGCCATGGGTGTATATGCAGTTGGGTTAACTAAGTATGGCTTCTTCACAGTTTAATCACAGGGAAGCTAGAGGCAATCCAGTATCTCTTGAATTAATAATATGATATGGTGACATAATTCATTAATATGAAGTGAAGTAGTGAACATGTTGATTGATAAGGACTGGTGTGGCATAATGTGTGGTACTGAAAGCGCTTGCAGGCCATGAACCTTGATCTCTTGAGTTCTGAGGTTTGGCTCTTCTTCATGTTTCACATTGCAATACCAATGGAACAAGCTGGTAATATGTTTGTTTTGTTTAGCGTAGATTGCTGCAGTGTTCATTGCCATGGTTGAATGTTATGGCAAAGCACAGAGGTGTTGGTTTTGCATTTCCCAAGTCTTCCCAAGCCTGGTGCCTTCCACATGTATTGGATTAGTGCCAACCATCACTCAGGCTGATAAAGAATTATAAGAATCAAGACTGCTGATACATCTGAAGGGTAGGAGGCAGTTATAGCTCATGGACATGAAGACATTTTACGCTAAAAATTCTGGTGATGCACCCCCTTCAATCTAGAGCAGGCCCTATTTTACAGGCTGCTATGTACAAAAAGGAGACTGCCTCAGTACTTCCTGGGAGGCCTAGGTCTTTTGGGAATGCACTTTATAAAGCTTAATGGTTAGCAAGACGATAGTCCCACATAGATCTAGGCCTTCCAGGAAGCACTGGCCATTTCCTTTTTTTACAGTTCATAAACTCCACTTTTGCCTGTTATTAGCTAAAAAGGACTCAAGTATCTGCCAGTGATAAAATGGGATTTTCTTAAAATTTCTAATATTAATTACAGTTATAGACTTTCTATGTAGCTGCTTTATGTAATTTCCTGTTGAAAGTCTGGCAAAACGAATACATGGCTTAATATCTGGACTTGCTTTGAGGGTGTTAACCATAGATCTGTGGCATGCATGAAAACAATAGTCATTTGAAGACTTCACTGGTTTGTAACCTCACTTATTGAAAAGCCTGTGTACAAAGCCGACGTGCTGATTCATATCTCAGCTTCACAAAGCAAGGTGTGACCATCTAGATTTTAAACAATGGGCTTTGTGAAAGTAAGGGTATTAATGTGTTTGTGACAGAACAATGAATTGGTCACCTTGTGAACACTAATTGAATCAAGCTAGCAACAGTTGGTAAGTGTGGAATACCCTGTAGCTAATTAATGGGCTAGTTTTTATGCTTGACAGTAATGCTGTGGTCTTGGGAGTCACAAATCCAAGAACTGCAGCTTTTTTCCATTTCTGCCTACACTGTACAGGTGTGGAGTGTGCTACACATCTGTCATCCAGATGTTGCTAAACTAACATTCCATCAGCTCTAGCTAGAATAACCAGTGATGAGGGAAGATGGAAACTGCAGTGCAATAACCCTTGATGGGTCACACGTGCCTTCTTATTCTTGTATGGGTTGGTGAAACCACTTGGGGTGGCCTGGTTAAAAGCTAGAGAGGCCAAGGGCAATAGTTGTGGGAGAAACAGGTACTTTAGAATGACTAATTTTTAAAAAGTAACACAATGTATGATTCTCTTTTTAGAAAGAAAAGTGCTAAAGTCAAGTCTGGATACAAGCGAGAACATATCAACTTGGCCTGTGACATGGATTTTGATATTGCGGGTCCTTCAGTACGTGGTGCCTTTGTCTTTGGCTATGAAGGTTGGCTGGCAGGTTACCAAATGACTTTTGAGACAGCTAAATCCAGAATAACTCAGAGCAACTTTGCTGTTGGTTATAAGACGGATGAGTTCCAGCTTCACACCAATGTGTAAGTATGGCCAAAATTGTGTTTAAAAACCCAGCTTAGCAAAGGGGAAAGGCTTAGGGGAAGGAAATTGATATCTTTCATGCACACAGCATATACTTGGAAAGAGACACTAATCAACTGAGTGGTTTCAATATGAGCATATAATTTGAAAAAGTGAGAGTTGCACCTTCACATATTAAAATGTAGAATTATTTGAAAATATACTCTTTTATGAGAAATGGTATGAAGAACTATAGTATATGAGCTGTCCTGGGCTCCTGCACCAAGAGAAATGTGCATAGTAAATAAAAGTAAAAATTCTAAAAGCAGATTTAAAGTCATAATTTTTTTAAAAGACAGTTTTTAGAGCCATCTGTCATAAAAAAAAAAAACAACAGATCAAGGCTAAAAACATTGTTTTGATAGCTAGTCTAGAAGTCTGTTTTAAAACCAGTTTTAAGCAGCAAAGGCCTTAAGTCTTATGCTACATCTTCAGCTTAATACTTAGTTTGTTGCTTTGAGCAAATCAATGTTCATATGTGTAGTGAGATCCTGTATGTAAGGCCTGCAGGTGCAAGAAGACCAGTTCTCAAACAATTTTTAATTTCATTTTATGTTTTGGTCCTCGGTCACCTTTTGTAGTCAGCTTGACAGAGTCCGCTTAGATATGCCCCACAGTGTAATTCCTTCCACATAAATTTCAGCTTCAAATTGCTTCAAGTTCAGATGTCAGCACAGGCATTTCCTATCTCACACCAGTCATGTGACTCAGCGCATGGCATCAAATGCCTGTGCTGACTTCTTAAGATGCAGGAATTTGCACCTGGAATTTATGATACTAGAATTACATCAACATAATTTTTCAGTTGGACTCCAACTGCTGTTTCTGACTTTTAAAACCCTAAATTGCCTTGGGTTCTTGCATGTCTCATGCTTTCAGACCTCCAGATGAACCTGCAACGTATCCCCTCATTTCCAAAACTATGGGTGAGAAACCCTTTGCACCCCAAAATTGGGCAAGGATATTGCATGTAGGAAAGCCTTCAAGCCACTGAAGGCACATATAAATGGTTTTGCGGTGTCTTTGAATTTATGAATTGTTTTGCTGGTTTGCTCATTTAGTTAATGTTGTTGATTTTATTGTGTTTTGTTCTTGATTGATTTTACCTTCTCTTGAGTCCATATTTGGTTAATGTGTAGTGGTACACATTTTAAAATAAAGAACAAAGTGGCGACTAAGAAAGAAGTATAGATATAATTAGCAAATAGATTATAAGCAAGAAATAGACACAAACAGATTGAATAAAGTTCATAGCAGTCTTAGTCTTGGAACCAGAGGATGCAAAGAACTCTGATGCCAGACAAAAAAAAAAATGTTTGTGTGATCCCTGCCTTTCTGGATGGTAGAAGGAAGTAAGCCCATGTTTTGGAGGTCTATGACATCAGGTAGAAGGAATCATCTCATTAAGAATGAACTTTCCATTCATTCTCTCCATTTCCCCCCCTAAGGTTCCACCCTGTACAAAAGTCATTAAAAGGGGGAGCAGGTATCAACACTGAAGAGGAAATGTATACAAGATGTAAAAAAAACACAAATGAACAAAAACTTAAGCAAAAGATACTTTAAAATTGCAGGCCGTTGTGGTGGGAAGACATTGGTCACTGGGAGATTTTTCATTAAGTTTTGAAAGACTGAATGGGCATTCTTATATTTGAAATTTGAGGTTGAGAGTATACTAGATATTTTTCCAATTTTCTCTCTCTCTTTTTGAAAAGGTATGTTAGGAGGATGCAGGCGTTGGGCTGCTTGCTGCCCATGACTTCATAGGCATTATCCAATAGAAATAGTGATGGCTCATCTTCCACTTACAAGATTTTTAAAAAAAATAAAATGTAACCTTCTGTTTTCTATATAAGGAATGATGGTACAGAATTTGGAGGTTCCATTTACCAGAAAGTGAATGATAAATTGGAGACAGCTGTCAATCTTGCTTGGACAGCTGGAAATAGCAACACTCGCTTTGGAATAGCAGCCAAATATCAGCTTGACCCAGATGCATCTTTCTCTGTAAGTAAAACACTCTATTTGAAATCAATTCCAATTTGGACTTATGGTGACCCCTGCCAGGGTTTCCTAGGTGTAAAGTACTAAGAAATCATTTAGTCTATTCTGGTTGCACTATAGGACTGTACTGATTGTCCAAAGGCATAGGTTGGCTGTTTTTCCAGAAGGCGCAGCAGGGAATCAAACTGCTGACCCCCATTCCAATTCACTGAGCTATGTAGCCATCATATGCACAGTTCTCTGGGAGTATGCTGACTGCATTCATACTCAGTTTTTCAAATAAACGTGCATAGGATCAAGCTAAACATGCGTTAAAAACTCTATCCTTCCCCCCCTCCCCCAGTTAATTTGCTGTTTGTGCTGTGTAGTAAGAACTTTGAAAGAGTAACATTTGAGATCTATTGGCTTATTTTACAGGCTAAAGTGAATAATTCCAGTTTGATTGGTTTAGGATATACTCAAACTCTGAAGCCAGGTATGTGCATTCAGAATTTTATTTATTAACTTCCCCTTGCAATTGTGATTTTGTTGCATGCTCTGTTCTGTGCAGAGTTTTATTATTTTTCATGCAGTGAATCAATTCATACAGGCTCTTATCTCTGAAATTCTGTAACATGTCATGTTCTGAGAAATAGCTGTGCCTCCATTCTTGGAATGTGGAAGTTTTGTTTCATAGCATGGCTTGTGTGCATGTAGAACAGCTCCAGTTTGCCTCCTCTCTGAAAATGATTACTAGAGGTGTCTGGATTTCTGTTTTCAGACTCCAGTTACAGTTCTGGGAGCTGCAGTCCAAAAACATAGATCTGTAGACGAGTAATGATTACCTGAGCTGAAGTAATGAAGCTCATCTTCTTACAAAAGCAGAGAAATCAACATCACTCTGCATTTTTCTCCTCTTTGCATAGACATTTTATTCTCTAGATACTATCCTAGATAAAAAGAACAAAACCTACCTGTGAAAATATACATCAAAGAGAGGGGAGGGCTGTATTTCTCCATTGAGGTGTATTATCATAAAACTTCTACATTAAGAGAATTTAGTGCATACTGAATCTTATAAATGTGTAAATTGACACACAGAATCTTAAAATTCTGTTCATAAGAAGCTTCTCACATATGCAGTTGATTACAACCATCATTTGGTTCCAAATGCTGCAGAGTATTAATTACGTGAGTTATAGCTCAAGATTATTTATGTTACGCATGAGTTCTGCTGACTGCATACAGAAGGCCACCAAACGCTGGTCCATCTGGATTCATAACTTGCTGGAAAACTGAGATAAATTGTTGCCATGAATTAGTCACATTTCATGTCAGTCATATCTTATTCTACTGACTTGATTAAACCTAAATTATTTAAGAAGGGAATTGAGGAACTGTTTTGCTAATGTTGAGTGGATTATCATTGGCCACTGGTATTTTTTAGTAATTGTACTTGTTTCTGCATTATGTATCAGTAGAGTAGTAATTATATTTATATAGAGTCCTGGGCAAGCTGCATAGCCCCTGGGTGTCCACAAATCAAGGGGTTATTAAATCACTTATGAGAAGTAGAAAACCCTGGAAAGGGCCGGTGTTAGTTGGAATTGACTTGATAGCACACAATTATTATTTTTAGTTTAATCAGGTGTGTTTTTAAAAAAATAAAAACAGCTCCCAAAGCATTGATCAGATTGTGTGAAATATCGTTGTATTCCTAAGTATTAAATACTCATCTCTTTCCTCTTACTGTTTGCTTATACAGGTATCAAACTGACACTGTCAGCTTTGTTGGATGGAAAGAATGTCAATGCAGGTGGCCACAAACTAGGTCTAGGACTGGAATTTGAAGCATAAAAAAAGGGATTGTACCATCACTTAATTTTGAAGTAACTTACAGCATAGCTACCTTCTGACTTTAGTGTACTTTTCAATGTTTTATGTCTGGGATGCAATTATTGCTGTGTGTCAGTCATGTTGAACATGGTTAAGGAAGGCTACGTTTCAAAGTATGTATTTTCAGAGAAAAATGAGAATCATGTTTCTGGTTCCAGGTCTCTGGAGAGTGTTGCTTGAAAAAACTCCATACTTGCAACAATTATATGAAGGCCTGATTCTGTCTTAAACATTCTCTTACAAAAATGGCTGCTATAATGGAATACACTTTTGATGTTTATGCTACAGGAAAACCAATCCATCATAATGCTCAGGAAACACAAATTCCTGTCCTTGAATGAATTGGGCTTTCATTCTATGATGGAGGGTTAAAATCTGTGTGATAAGAGGCTGCCTAGGCAGAGGCGTTATACATGTTTTAAGTCTCAGTTCTCTCTCCCATACCCACAGCTCTCTGTTTTCACCAACAGCTTGTCTTTGGAGTGCTTTAGAGTGTTCACTTTGTTTAACCTTGGCATATAGAGAGTTTTTGGTGTGATTCGGCCAACACTGCATACAATTCACATCCTGTATTGTGGTTCCTTTCCCTTGCACTACTTTTGGAAGAGCTTGTACGACACAGCCGTGAGCAAGGAAAAGCCTCTGTAACTGTAATTACCTAGTGGCATTGCATTAAACAAAACGGACCTTGTTTTATCCTCTCTTCTTTTTTTATTTTAGCAGTTTTAATGGGTACGTCTTCAGTCTTCCATTTTTGTGTGTGGAACTAGACCCCCAAATGCTGTACTGGACACCAATTAAAATGGGGAAAAAAACCCAAACAACTTGAATAAAACATTGAAACTTCATCTTTCATTGTGTCTGTGTTCTTGAGCTCTTTTCCATTTAACATATATTTAAAAATGTACTGAGAGAGCAAAACAAAAAGGACCTGATACATTTTGTAACACATAGGCAAAAGAAAATGTTACCTACTACAAAACGGTTCTTATGTAACAAAAGAGATGGCTAATGAAGCCTTACTCCAGCATACACAGTCTCGTTCCGTCATTCCTTTGTATGTTTTCTTTTCCATCTGACAATAATCCATAACTATGGAGTATGGTTATCCCTAGTTCAACTGTTCTGTGTTTTAGTCACCAAATCCAGTGATGTAGCAGAGCCATGGTTTGTAGGTTCAAAGCGCAAGGGCTGGTTCAGTAGGAGGAACTATAATATCATTTTATTTATTATTAGTTTTATTTATATGCCACATTTCTCCCAACAAGGGACCCAAAGCGGCTCACAACATTAACATCCACACAGTTTAAAAACAAAAGTTACATATTAAAAGATAAATAATATATGATTTAAAATACAATTAAAAGATTAAAACATGAAAACATAAAAAAGATTAAAATCATCCACTAAAATGGGGTTCAGGGGTTCAGTTATCATTTGCCATCTCCTTCAGACTTCCCTTGTTCTCTTTGATGAGGACAAGGTTCTCTTTGAACTTAGTTGCAGCGTTCACAATAGCTAGGAGAAAAAAAAGATTTTCCAGGACCATTATACTATTGCAATATATTGGTATCATAATATAAAGTATTTCAAGGAGATTTGTTCTTCAGTTAGCAATTATGAGCTGTTCATTTTATTAAAAGCCATGCCTCCAATTGTTAATGTAGACTAATCTAGTTGCTTGCATTTCTGAACTCTAGGGCCATTTCATATCATGTTGTGAACATTTAAGATTGCAAAGATAGGCTTATTTCGGTTATTACAAGTGCAGAAATTGTTTACCTCAAAGGCAAAGCTAAGAATATCCTTAAGCTCAGGATTCAATTTCCTTTTGCTGCAGTGTTTTTCTAAAACACTCACCAGGGAACCTATGGAGGTGTTTGACTCTCTTTGAAGCAGAGAGAAATATGAGCATATACATGATTCAGTACAAAAGGTGATGTGCAGCTTACGGCTTAATAAAAATAACACTGTTGTTATTTTGCTAAACAATGTTTTCAGTGCACATGAAATTTGCAGAGTAACAAATACAAAAGAGAAGACAAGTTGAGTAACTTGAGTTTAGACATTATGGGAAATGGAGAGGGGGAAGGAAAGGAAACAAAAGAACATTTTTGGGGGCAGGGACGGACTCTATTGATATTTTCTATCGCAGTGTTATGTTTGTTTCAGAATTGAAAGCATGTCTAACATACTGAAGATGCTGAGCATAGAGAAGGAATAGGGAGAGTAAAGACTCATATGAAATATGGGAAAATCTTGAATATGCATTCTTTCAATGGGTATATAGCAAATTGGTTTGGTTCAACAAATGTAAGCAAAGCAAATATCCACCCCCTTCCCCAATACAGCATCCCAGGTTCTGAAGAAACACAAAAGTAAGCATCCAACTAAATTATAAGTTGTCTTCTAGTAGTGCAACTCGGCTTCAAGACAAATGTCAGCCACACCAGAAGATTAAAAATAAAGTAAAAGAATCATAGTTCTCTGCAGCCAATCCCTTGATAAGGAATTCCAGTACATATGTCAGAAGAAAAAGGATACAATTTATTGCAACATGAGCATGCAAGGGGATAGAGAAAAACAAAGAGCTTTGAAAGCGGATGAATTGCTCCATCAAGCAAATTTCCAGAGAAACTCAGGGAGGAAAGACAAGAGAATAAGGAATTTAACACAAAAGATCAGGATGGTGAGTGGAATGGTGATCTTTCCATTGTGGAGTTCAGGTGGCATTTGAAAACTCACCATTCAATGCAGTGGAGAAAATGGAAGACAAAGCCAAGCCCACTATAGGGGGAAGCGGATGAATTGCTCCATCAAGCAAATTTCCAGAGAAACTCAGGGAGGAAAGACAAGAGAATAAGGAATTTAACACAAAAGATCAGGATGGTGAGTGGAATGGTGATCTTTCCATTGTGGAGTTCAGGTGGCATTTGAAAACTCACCATTCAATGCAGTGGAGAAAATGGAAGACAAAGCCAAGCCCACTATAGGGGGACTGAGGGAGACAGTTCAGAAGAACGTGCATGGCCTGCCAGGACAGCTTGGGCTGGACACAAACATAGAGTGATCCTGATCTAGTTTATTTATTTATTTATTTATTTATTTGATTTTTACCCCGCCCCTCTAGACCATGTCTACTCGGGGCGGCTTACAGGCTAAAAGTTATTCACTGCTGACTTAGAGATTCTCAAGCTACTCACATTCCTAAAACTTAAAAGAGGAGTTAACTCAGCAAAAAGACAAGCCGTTTGCTTTCAAAAAGATCCATGTACAGTTAGAAGCATCTTCAGTTAGAAAAGAATAAGGCAGGAGTATTTGAAAAAGGCCTCTGCCTGATTTTCTGGTGAGTAGCAACTAATACTGTACTTGCAATGTGCCCTTTCAAAAACAACAGTGGAAATTCTTGAGAATCTGAATTCAACGTTTACAGATATTCTCACATTTATCAGGCTTGCATATGTCTTTCCCTTATAAGTCCATTAATCAATGAATGTAGAAGGGCCTGCACCTAAATATCCCCTGCTCAAGTAGCTTCACCCTTGCATGCCCGGTCTCACATTGCTCACAAGATTAATTTTGTGATTGGATGTGGAATAGCAGCCCTGCCAGAACATGGAAGCACTTATGTAATTGACCTTACAGTGTAAAGGACAAATAAAGACTCTAACAAGATTGGAAAAACAAAGAGATGGTGCAGTGATACAAAACTGCTAGTTGACATCATTCCACTAGAATACACAAAACAGTCTAAAAAGCCAAAGCTTGACAAACAGTAACTCCATGCTTTGGTGTTCTTTCATAATCTTCATCAGTTCTGGGATCAACTCTAGGCCTTGTTGTAAATGTTCATAAACTGATGCCTTAAAACCCCCACCAAATATTTGCATAATAAATAACGGATTTATAAAATAATCACATGCATTGAAAAACAAAACAAAAAGCATATAAAGAGGCTTTAACAGGAATAAGGGACTCGGATTTTAACAGAAAAATGTTGTGTTATTTTTCAGAGAGGGAGAAAGAGATCCTTATTACTATCAACAAATCAGATAATCTTACACAAGCAATATGTGCCCACAATTTCAGTATTATAAGTGAAAACAAAATAAAAATGAAAAAAGACAAGAAGTGGTGGTCCCTTGAAGACTAACTTATATTTTTAATGTGAATTTTCATGGACAAGTCCACTCCAGATTAACACGTTTACTCCTTCTAATAACTATACAGTACATACTTTTACTATACCTAGCAATAAATGCCAGATGTTTAAACTGGGTTTAGAAAAAAGTACTGTACTGTTTTCTGCGTGACATGGTGTCATCTATATACTGTAGCTTGAATTATCCACGTTCCTTCCACCCATTTTCACGCCTTCTTCATCTTGAATCTAAGCCAGATGTGCAGAAGCAATGCCACAGTTCGCCTCGGCACTTCAGGGCTAACACCTGGATCACGATCTCCACCTTCCAGTAAAACGACCGGAGTCATCGAGGGTTCAGGCACGCAGACCTGCGCCTCTCTGCCAGCCAAAGCCGTGGTTCGTTCAGAGATAGAGCGATACATACGGTAGTTTTAATCCCCGGGCGCCCGATCCTTTTTTTTTCCAACGCAGACCCTGAAATCCCCTATGCAAATGAGGAGATGCATCACTCTCCTTTTTTCGCGCTCTCTCCTTCGGGAACTCCGGTCTATGGTCATCTCCAGGGAGCGGCGCGTTTTGACGTCAACGCACCGCATTCCTACGGAACGTCGTTGCCTAGCAGCGCAGAGACTGCGGTAGGCGGATCGCGGGGAGGCCACGTCCTCCTGGCCAGCCCCAGTGGTTGTGAGTAAACATGGCTGCTGCCGGGAGAAAGACGAGGCGAGCTGGGGTAGGAGAGACGCCGTCGTTACCGTCTTTGGGCCGGACGTCTCTCTTCCTTTTGTTCGTGGCCCTGCCGGTCCGGGGCCAAGGTGAGAACGGTGAGTAAAGGTCGTGTTCAGGCAAGAGGGCGGGAAACGCAGGCAGGAGGTCGCCTTCCAGTTGCCCAAAAGGGTGGCGGTGGTAGAGGGGAGACGAGCCTCGGTTTCCTTCGCCTGGGGTCGCCTTTCCCCGAAGGCTTGGCTTGCTCCTTAACTCCCAAGGAGTGGCTTCTCTCGGCGGGTGCCCTTCCTTTTTTCGCTTCTTTTCCTTCCCTCTTTTTCGCCCTCCTGCCCCCGCGGGGCTTGGTTCTGCCTGGCCCTCCTTCCTCCTTTTCCCTTGCTCGCTCTCTCCAGATGACCTCCACATTTTCCAGGACACTGCAGGCTTTCACGCGGTTACTCAGGGGAGGTGTCAAAAATAATTGAATATAAAAATCAAAAATAAAACTCCAAAGGAAGCCGAGTTTTCATCACACAGTACAAACCTTGAAGAATGTGACCCTTCAATTAGACCTTTATAAGCCTAGGTCCCTGGAAAAGACCCTGATGTTGGGAAAGTGTGAGGGCAAGAGGAGAAGGGGACGACAGAGGACGAGATGGTTGGACAGTGTCATCGAAGCAACCAACATGAATTTGGCACAACTACGGGAGGCAGTGGAAGACAGGAGGGCCTGGTGTGCTCTGGTCCATGGGGTCATGAAGAGTCAGACACGATTTAATGACTAAACAACAACAACAAAGCCTAGGTTGAGTGTGGCTCTCTCCCAGACACCTGGTTGCTATGCTAGTCTGTGCTAGCATATCAGGTGAAAACAAAATAATTAAAAAAGACAGATGTTGTACCTATGAAAGACCTTTTTGGATAAGGCTGCTTCCTCAGATCAAGTTTGTGATGCCTAAACTCACTGTAAAATATTGCACTGGGCTCGATCATCCCACTTCAGCTTGAAAGGACTGTGGTTCTGAATGTCCTCTCTCACATTTAAAAGACAGCAAATAAGTCAAGTGACAACAACCCAGGTTCATTTTTCCTTTCCCCTTTTCAGTATCTGCCTCCTGACAAAGGCTCATTTGCCATTGACAGCAAGGGATAGATGTAATTTTGGTGTCAAGAGTTGGCTGTTCTCCTGGAGGGCACAAGTATGGAATCAAATCAACATATAGTTCTAACTCACTGAGCTGTTCCCTTACAAAGACTTCAATTGATTTGTCATTACTCCTCATGCTTCTTTTGAGAAGTTGTACACAGGCTTTCTTTTGGGAACATGTAAAATTACAGAAATTGAACTGTCCTGGTTTTGTTGTATGCTTGTTTTTGTGTGTGACATAGTGTCATTTACATAATATATCATTGTTACTTCTGAGAGCCTGACCTACCTTTTCATTCTTTCTCTTTAAACATGTTCGAGAAAGTCTTCTTTGTAGCTCTTAGTATCTCTCAATAGACTTAGCTTGTTCTATGCTTGATATTTCCTAATACTATCCCTAGACGTCTAGACTAATCAGGTATATTTAACTCTGATGAACCTTAGTTCCATTTCTTGTACTTGATTTTTAAAACACTTCTATTCATCCACAAACTTTCAGTGTGATTACAACATTGTTTTAATCTGTTCCATTTTTCACATTGACTATGATGTTGTTTTAGTAAATTTTTATTCAGGAACTCCTACCCTATCTTGAGGTACTTCCTTTATTCATTTACTTATCATGGGATCCTTTCTGATTTTCTCTGAACATTAAATGTAGGTTATATCATTGCATCCATTCATTTTAGCATTTCAGAGATTGAACATTCTTGTGTTGAATGAGTCCTTTCCTTCACTGCAAGCAATTTGATTAATATGTCTGTGTTTTGAATTTTTGTTTTAAATTCTGCAGTCTAGAAAAAACATGTGGTTTTAAAACAAGGAACAGCTTGTGTAGCTGTTGCACTCATGTGCCATGAATCTATGAATGGCTTGATTGACTCAAAACATCTAACATCTACTTAAAAAATTCTTACATGCTAGTTGGAAGCAAATGAGAGCTTCTCTGTTCACTACTCCCAGGTACTTTGAATGCTAAATCCCATAGTTTTCCAGGGTACTTTTGTTTCCTGCATTTGATTGCTGAGATTAATTGTTAATTTATGCTTATTCATTTTTGTTTTATCAAATGTCATTTTCCTGAATCATAATTTCAACTGAAGCTTACATTAAAGATATATTATAAACTTCATATTGCTAGTGTGATTAAACATTGCTTAGCCTGGCCAGACTCACAAGAGCCTATGCAGGGAGGATGATGTCATCAGCTGTGGCCATGCTACAGCCATTTTGAGGAGAATGAAAAACTTCCTAGAGGCCCCTCAGGTTTTGAGGGACTGGGACTGATGACAGTGATTTTCCATATTTAATTTGCCCTCCTTCTGTCTCCTGGCTCCCAAAGGCTGCCTTAGGATGAAGGGAGACCTTAGTGGTCCCCAAAACCTGAGAAGAGGCTTTAGGAAGTTTTGTATAGCAGTGAAATGGTTGTATAGTCTTTGTATAGCTGCATAATGCAGCTCCACCAACAGGATTTCAGCCAAAATATGATAAGAGTGGAGTGCACAATCATGCTGTGTTGTATCCTTCATTGCAAGAAGATTAGGTATGGCATTGCTATATTGGACTTTCTTGTTAAGGCTGTTGATTAGATTTAAGTAGGTTTGCTTGACTGTAGTCAAAGAAGGAAAATCAAAGTAAAGTTTGTTGCTTATATACTACCCCATAGCACTTAAAGCACTCTCTGGGTAGTGTACAGTTTAATTCAGCAGGCTACACATTGCCCGCCACCCAATGAGCTGAGTTCTAAATTTACTGACCTCAGTAGGATGGAAGGCTGAGTCAGCTTTGAACTGGCCACCTGAGCCTGTCCGGGTCAAACTCAGCTTGTGAGCAGAGTCTTGCCTGCAGTACTGCCATTTAACCACTGTGCCACAAGGCTCCTAAAGAAATCGGCATGTGATTGTTGTCTTTGCAGAGTGAGCTACGAACATAGATCAGGAAAAACTGTTCCAAATACCTGAGTACATTTGGAAGAACAAGAGATGGGATAAAGTTTTGGCATGGTAGAAAAGGTGGGGAATAAAAAAAGGGATTTGGAACTGGAAGAGGAGGAAACTGGTGGAAGTTTGGAGACATGTAGGTAGAATTAAAAATAGTGGAGGAGGAGCAGGATAAGAAAAGCCGGGAAGATAAACTGCTCCAGACAGGGGAGGGGACAGAGGAAGAGAGATGGGTGATGCTTTGAAGCAGGCTTGTCCAACCTGCAGCCTGAGGGCTGCATGCGGCCCAGGTCAGCTCGTAATGCGGCCCAGTGCAATTTTTTATTTTTAAAGAAATTCCAAAGTTTCAAGATACATTGCCGGTGTTTGCAGCCGGAATGTGGCCGGGGCATGTCACAACAGTAGAGGGGGAGAGAGGGAAGGAAGGAAGGAGGGGGAGGGGAGGGGAGAGGGGGGAGGTGTGACTGCATTGTGCCATCCCCGTCAATAGGTGGACCCTCTCCCGGCCCCATAAAGCTGCTGGAGTCGAAGCTGGCAGCCTCTGCTGTCTGAGATTGCAGCTGCCAGTAAGCATGCTTGGAGCAGGGCTGCGGAGGACGGCCAGGGCTGCCCCCCCATGCGGCCCAAACCAAATCTTCATCTTCCAATGTGGCCCAGGGAAGATGAAAGGTTGGACACCCCTGCTTTGGAGGATCAAGAAGCAGAGGCTTATCAAATAGATTTTGAGGTAGTTGAAGAAGCACTACCCTCAACCCTCCTGGAAGTGGGATTATCCAGTTATAGGTTACCCAGTAAGATGCAGAGAAACACCTCATCTGTAACCATCTCCACAAGCCTTCCAATTAGGGGGAGCAAGAAAGGTGGGGAAGGCAGTGAAGACTGTAGTAGAAGCCTCTAAAGGAGAAGAAAGCAAGAATGGGGCCCACACAGCCAGCTTCCACTCTTGTACATGCTGGAGCATAGCAGCTGAACATATGACCTTATGCTTAGGATGAAAAAAACATACACATTCAGGAAAACAGCACACAAGTGAGACAAATGAACTTGTTGAAAAAGGGTTCATTAAATATGGGTGAAAGTGATTAATATTAACAGCTTCACTTGCATCACAAACCAGATGATTCCTAGTCAATCCAGCAAACCTAGGCTTAGCTTCCTCTTGACTCTGTGTTACATCACTTGCTCCATGTTACAGAAACCAGTCCAGACCTTAAGAGTGAGGTTACCTTTGCGGATTGGCACAAAGGGTGTCCCAGCAACGGTGGCTTGTAACCCTGCAAGGTTCACAGACTCACCTCAGATGGTCTTCGCTTGGTGGTTGAGTTCTCTTTGGTTCCCTCTTTGCCAGGTTTTATCTGGGGGAAACATTCTCAGGACTTCTCTTGCTTATTGGACATCAGTCACCACAGCTCAGTGGAAATTCTTTACATATTGTGGCAAGGGACGTTATTGAAGCCTGTGTGCTGTTTTCCTGAGGCTGAAGCTCGCTTGAAAATCCTTCTAACCTCATGTACCATTTTTAGTTAATAGGTTTTATTTAGTAGTTCTTATAGTAGTACAGTATTCCACAGATTTTACTTTTTTGTTTGCGTGCAATTAGTCTTTTTAGACTCAAATTTTAAAACTGTTGCCCTAATAATCCATTTTTAATTTTTTGTTTAAATTCCCCTCCCCCTTTGTGGGTTGAGAAGCTGCATAAAATACTTGTGTAAGCTGTTTTGCCACACATTAGAATGTATTAAAAACACATTTTTGCAAGTCAAGGATAGATAAAAAGCAAGATCTCTTCATATGTTGTTTGTTTTATTACAAACATTGTACAAATATTGAAACAGAATTTAATTAATTTTCAGAATCTTGGAGTCATTTTAGATCACAGTGTGATGTGGCTGCAAAAAAGGCAAATGCTATTTTAGGCTGCATTAACAGAAGTATAGTCTTCAAATCCCGTGAGGTACTACTGTAGTTCCCTTCTGTTAAGCAGTGGTTAGGACTAATCTTGAATAGTGTTCAGTTCGGGGCACTGCACTGAACAAAGAATGCTGACAAACTGGAACACAGTCAGAGGAGGGCAACAAGAGTAGACCATTGGTCTAGATGGGCGGGGTATAAATCTAATAAAATAAATAAATGATCAGGGGACAGGAAACCAAACCTTATGAGGAAAGACTGAAAGAACTGGGCATGTGTAGCCTTGAGAAAAGAAGAGGGAAGGTATAATAGCATTTTTCAAATACTCAAAAGGCTGTAATACAGAGGAGGGGCAGGATCTGTTCTCGATCATTCCAGAGTGCAGGACACGCAACAATGGGCTCAAGTTACAGAAAATCAGATTTCTGTTGAATATCAGGAAAAATTTCCTAACTGTTAGACCAGTACAGCAATGAAACCAATTACCTTGTGAGGTGCTGAATGCTCCAGCACTGGAGGCATTCAAGAGACCAGGCAGGCATCCTTTGATTTTTATTCCTGTACTGAGCAGGAGGTTTGAATCAGTTGCCTTAGAGGCTCCTTCCAACCTCATGATTTTGTGATTCTGTATTAAATTAAGTTAGGTACAAATCATGCAAAAAGATCTCAGTTTAAAATAATTACAATCAAACAGTAGCAAAGCACAACATGTTATTTAAATTCACAGTCTTTAGCTATCTGTCATTTGCTCAAATCTGTGTCCTTCTAATTTAGTTTTTAAAATACAGTTTAAATATCTGCAAAGCCAAAGTTTTAATTCAGCTTTTTAGATTGTTGACAGTAGAGTCTAACAGGTTGAGGCTAATATATTTGTCTCATGCAATTATTTCATAGGAATGTTCAGTGTAAGGTTGGAGCTACATCTTTACTGAATGCAGATTCTGTTGATTCCCAAGCGATATATAATATCTATTATTTTTAAATGGATAGCAATTTTGATTTGCTGTGTACTGTGTTCTTTTTCACTTCATTTCTGAAATCTAGGAACCCTATGAGAATATTTGATTATAATTTGATATTATCCTGATTTTTAAATTGTCTCCTCCAGATACACGTGATGCAAGCTTGAATATGAATTCTATCAAATTAATGCCGACTGAAACTCACAGTATAGCACCTGTTATTGCAGCAGCCAGTCAAAACATTGTGAAGAGTACAACAAAAGAAACCATGTCTCCACCATCTGTGAAAACTGGCACCCCTGTAGCACCTGGGCCAACTATAGCAAAAGAGAAGCCATCCACATCACCTGTGCCACTTTCTGTGACTCCCAGTCCTAATACAGAAATGATTGTTGATATTTCAGAAGACACAAATATTAATAGAGATGACATTACAGACAAATATGAATTTGCTAGTTCGCTACCAACACCAGATGAACCTATAGATACTAGTTTTCCAGAGGATGATGACCAGTTTGATTCTCAAGGGGATGATCAAGATGACCAAAGCATTCCTGAATTTGCAGAAGATTTGACAAGTATGCACAGCTATGAAAACAGGAAATCATTTGCTGATGAGATGAAGGACTCTCAAGTCTCAGAACTGGAAGAAGATAGCCATTTCTTTTTTCATCTGGTTATTGTTGCCTTTTTGGTAGCTGTTGTTTACATCACATATCACAATAAAAGAAAGGTAGGCTGAGCTTAACAATTCAGAGCATATTAAACTCTGAATATTTTTCTTGGAATTCTTTAGAGCCATGTTCAGTAATAAATACCTTTACTGAGATTGCAAATTGGCATGTTCAAATTATATCTCTTTTACATTATTGATTCTTGGATTAAGGCTAAGCATAGTTGAATTAGGTTATGAAATGCAGCACTGCAAAAATTAGAAAACATCAAGTTTGACTTCAACATTTATTAGTAAGATGATTTATTTGCTAATCTACTTCAAATCAATTCTGTATTGCAAGGCACTTTGGATATTTTCACAAAATTAGTTAAGCAAAGTTGCCTGTTTAGGAACCAGAGAAGAATGACATATTACTGGATAAACAGCTCTTATGAGTATATTAGTGTCTTATGAGTAGCTCCACTCTATAAGTCAAAATCGAAGAATGACATATTACTGGATAAACAGCTCCACTCTATAAGTCAAAATCATTTCATAACTCCTTAAACATTGTATTGAAGAATCTAAATAATACCTGCTTTTTCTTAAAAAGCAGTTAAAGTGCTGTTACATTCCTTTTATTTCTTCACTTATTTTCTGTACATCTGTAATTGAATATGATGCATTGAGCATTGTGCTGTATTCTAGTGTATTCTAGGTTTATCTTTCAGCCCCAAGAGTCCTGGGCAAGTTATTTTATTCCATTCATCCAGTTTTAACACTCTGAAATCTTGTTGCTTAGTGTAGTAAGTTGCAGCTGGAGTAGGTGCATTGAATCAATAGAACTTACAAAGGAGTTGAATCATCAAACCCTTACTGATTCAGTAGGCCTACTCTAGTTGTAACTTACTGTTAGAGATGGGCACAACTTAAGTTGTGCCGCATTGTACAAAGACTTCAGCGCAGCACCATAGGTGCCACATGGGCCATTCTCCCACTTCCTGGGCCATCTATCTCACACCATTGAAGTTCCATCTCTGGTGGCACTCCAGTCTGGGCAGGAACTTCAACTGCCCTTCTCCACCTCCTCCAGCAGCCAACCATTGGCTGTGTTGGGAGAATCCCCATCCTGCCTCTCGTCCGAGTGGTCAGCTGCTCGAGGAGGCAAGGAAGGGCAGCCTGAGCTGCTACCCAGACGGGAGCGCCGCTAGAGAAGGAGGACCTCAGCAGCATGTGACAGATGGTGAGTGGGTCAGCCAGCTCAGGAGGCCTGGGAAGAATACACACAGCACCTGTGGTGCTGCACTGACAGCTTCATGTCATGCAGCATGACTTAAGTTGTGGCTATCTCTACTTACTGTGCTAAGCAAGAAGATATCTATCTGTTTTAGTACAATCACCTATTTATACCAAAGAGGCAATGTCATTACTCATTATTTTCACTATGGAGCCACCTGAATAAGATTAGGACATTGCTTTTTAAATAGAAAACAGTGCTTTTTTAAAAAAAGCAGAGATGGTGATGTACCAGGAGTAAAAATTGATTAAGTACTGATTTTGAAACATTTTCTTCTACAACTGAAGATTTGTTGGTAGATGGAATGATTGACATGGACTTACATAGTCTTACACAGCCAAGTGGTGGTGCTGCTGGTTAAAACCGCAGAAGCCTCTGTGCTGCAAGGTCAGAAGACCTGCAGTCGTAAGATCGAATCTATGTGATGGAGTGAGCCCCCGTCGCTTGTCCCAGCTCCTGCCAACCTAGCAGTTCGAAAGCATGCAAAAATGCAAAATGAGAGTACATAAATAGGTACCACCATGGTGGGAAGGTAACAGCATTCTGTGTCTAGCCACGCTGGCCATGTGACCACGGAAGATTGTCTTCAGACAGACGCTAGCTCTATGGGTTGGAAAATGAGATGAGCACCACCCCCTAGAGTTAGATACGACTGGACAAATTGTCAAGGGGAACCTTTACCTTTACTTTTACATAGCCTAAAATGTTAACAAACACTTTTAAGTGTACTTTAGTTTGCTTAATATTTATCACTTTCTGGGATAAGCTAACCTAAGGAAAATATTGACATTCATGTGTTTGAAACTGTGGTAACTTTTGAATATGTCCAGTCAGCTCCTGTTATGAATATTCTACTGCAATTTGCCCATCTTTCTATGAGAGGTGTGCATCATAGCTTAACCCAGCCCACAGCTCTTGTTAGATAGAGATGATGGTGTATCACTTGTAAAATTAGATTGTGCTGTAGTTTGAATCTTGCTGGAGTAGCAGGTTCTTCTCTGATATGGGAGCATGGATCAAGGGCTAAAACCATTCTGGTGGGTGGTGCTGTAGTGCCAGTGCAGTGCTGCTTCCTTCCCTTCTCCTCACTTCCAAAGTCCTTGGAGCTTTCTGAAAACATTCCAAAGGGTGGGGTTTTTTTTTGTTGCAAGTTTTGATAGTGAAAGGGAAGGATTGTAGTGAGAAACAAACATTTCTGCTTTCTACTTCTGGATTCAGCTGTTCAGCAGAAATCTATCTGTCTGTCTGTCTATCTATCTATCTATCTATCTATCTAATCTAATCTAATCTAATCTATCTATAGGATCCTGTATTTGGTTTGTCTCAGTTGTATCCATAATGACAAGTGTTTTAGTTTTTTCCATTGAAGCATCCAGCCATTCATATCTGCAGAAATACATAAATGCTGTCAATGGTAATGATAAGCAGTTTGCTAGTTATAATTGTAAATAAAAACAGCACAATTTAGAGAACTAAATAGTTATGATGGCTTGCAAAGATTGATCAGAAAATTAATACAGTTATTTACTGTAACTATATATTCAGCCCCACTGATACCTGTTTGTAACTAGCTACCTGTTCTTTTCTTTCCAGATCATTTTGCTAGTTCAGAGCAGAAGATGGCGAGATGGGCTTTGTTCCAGAACAGTTGGATATCATCGTTTAGATCAAAATGTTAATGAAGCTATGCCTTCATTAAAAATTACCAATGATTACATTTTTTAAATGTGTTGTGATCCCAGTTTACTGAACTTGTGGTTTACTCTGCCTTGTTTTTTATATAATGTGCAGGCATTTGCTCTAAGCCATGGGCATATGCACATTCTTCTTGCCTTGCAGGTTTTAGCCTTAAAATGAGGGCATGAAAGATTAATATTGACTTATGGTGACAGCCATACCCCAGCTTCACTGCACATAGTGGCATTTTTACTCACTTTATCTTCTGGCTGAAACAGTAGTCCTAGTTTAGAACATAGCCTCATAATGCTCATTACTCAACATCTTAGTGATAAATATCACCAATGAATCATACAAAAACAGTGGTTTCCAACCTTGGGTATCCCAAGTGTTCTTGGAGTGCAATTCCCACAAGTCTTCACCACTAGCTGTGCTTATAGGGGTTTCTCGGAGTTGCAGTCCAAGAACACCAGGGTTTCCTAATGTTGGAAACCACTGTACTGAAAGAAACTTCTGGTAATTCCCTATTTCAATCATGTATCCTATTTGTTTCATAAATACAAAGGTGGAATAAAATTAGGTTCCTTCTAGACACATTACTTGTATATCTAATCATTTTTGTATTTTTTTTCTGTTGCATTTGCATAGAGAAACATTTTAAGAAATATTTTTTATGTATTATTGATGAGTTTGGCTTGCATGATTCATGAATACGTGCTGGTGATACTGAGCCAAACATTTCTCCATTGTGTTTTTTTTTGGGGGGGGGGGATATTTGCTTTTAAAAAACAAGAATTAAAATAAAATGTTTTCAGGCTAGACACTCAATTGCACAAAAAGACCAGTAAAACATTCTCATCTGTGCTGCTTTGATATTTTAAGTAGGGCTTGCCAAGGTATTATTTGCAATTTTGTTATTACAAACATGGAAAGGATGCAGATTTTAGAGACATTTGGATCCAGGAGTGTGGGTTCTCCAATGGGAAAGATGCTTGCTTGTAGAATGGACTCCCTTCCCCATAATGCACCCCCTCCAATTACTCTGGAGGCTTGGCACAGCAGGAAAAAGGTAGTTTGCTTGCCTAGTATTGGTTGTTGGCCTGAGTTAATGACAGTATTGGTCACACTTAGCTGCAATTATAAGAATGACATCCTGAGGTGGCCCTTATTCAGAAAACATGGCACCATTTTGTTTCATTTTGAAGAAGAAAAAATCAGCAGGTTGTATTTTTAAAAACTGTACATTTTGTTATTTATCTTCATTTCCACAAATTGTAACGTATATAAATCAGTGGTTTTACTTGAATGTACATCCTGTTGTTGAGTGGTGTTTTTCTCTGGGTGGAGGAACATGTAAATAATGAAGTGTAGCTAATGAATTTATTTTTAAGTATTGAAATATTCTGAAAAACTCCCAAACCTCTAACATGAGAAGAGTTGTGGTGGGCATGATCCTATTTTAATAGATAGATCAACTGAGCTGCTATATTCCTTCATTTTGTACTCCTAAACATAAGAAAATGCAGCACAAACAATAAACTCCAGGACTGTTTTCTGCAGTGGTTTTTATCATATTTGATCTTGTACCACTTTTAATAAGACTTTTGAAATAAACTCCCAACAATATAATTCTTTAGTAGCTTGCTTTGTATATTTCTGTATAAAAGAGTTCTCTCTTGGTGAAGGCAGCTTGAAATACTGAAAACAATTCTGAATGAATAATTGCTTTACCTTGTGCAGGTAGTGCAAAAAAAAAATCAGTTTACTTACTCTTTTTAAGTTTAAAAAGTGTTCAGATTTGACAACAAAGTTTGGTTAAGTCCCCAATTTGATTATTCAAAAGGCAGTGCAGTTTGGCTTGCACTGATTTGCAGCCCCTACCCAACATGATTTAGATTTGAATCTTGCTTTTGAAATTCAGAACTTGACAGAAGCTTGTCACATTCACTCTGATTAGAAACAATAAAATAGTTATAACTTTTTGTCAATGATTTAACACAATGGCCTGAAATTTGTTGCCCTCTATGTAGGGATGAACACTGTCAGACTTCAAAGTGATTGCTACAATATATATTTTACATACAAGAGTAGCCTTTGCTTTTTCAGAGTTTTGAAGTACAGTGGTGCCTTGAGTTACGAACGTAATTGTTTCCGGAAGATGGTTGTAACTTAAGTTGGTTGTAACCATGGTGGGAAGCTAACAGCGTTCCGTGTCTAGTCGTGCTGGCCACGTGACCACAGAAACTGTCTTCGGACAAATGCTGGCTCTACGGCTTGGCCGCACGCCCGCACGCACGCACACACACACACACACACACACACACACACACACACACACCCCAGAAAAGAAACAACAAAACTGCAAGACCAATCAGTAACACAATCCGTTTGGGCCAGAAAAACACACACCAAAAAACAATAAACCACTACAAGACCCATCGGAAGCGTGTTTAATCCATTTGGGCTGGAAAAAAAACCACATACCAAAACACAAAAAAACCCCTGCAAGACCCGTCAGAACGCAATTAATCCGGTTGGGCCGGGGGAAAAACACATACCAAAAAACCACTGCAAGACCAATCAGAAGTGCGATTAATCCATTCAGGCAGGGAAAAAAAACACATACCAAAACACAAAAAAACCTGCAAGACCCATCGGAAGCACGATTAATCAGTTCGGGCCGAACCCCCCCCACACACAGAAAAGCAAAAAAACAAAACAAAACAAAAACACTGCAGGACCCATCAGAATACAGCACAGAAATACCCCCCATCCCAAACCCACGCTGCAAAACCCTGTACTCACTCAGAACAGGCATTTTAAAAAGTAGAAAGCAGCACCAGGCAGTCCGAAACCACCTCCAAACGTGCGCACTCTAACTGCTGGGGTGAAAGAGCTACAAAGAAGCAGCCTCTTCACCGACCAACGGTTAGCAATTTAAATTCCCCGCCTTTCCCCCTGCCTTTTTTCCGGTTGTAACTTAAAGCTCCAGACACAAGTCAAAGCAAAATGTGGCCGGCGCTCGTTGTAACTCAAATTGGTTGCAAGTCAGGATGGTCGTATGTCAAGGCACCACTGTAGAGATTTGCTTATCCCCTTGAGGTTTGGGGAAAAACATATTACATGGAAATGCCCTGGGGGGAGGGGGGGAGGAAAATTTCCTGATTTCAGAATTCAAGTTATATTTTTAAGTTAAGTGATAGGAATGTGGCCTCTCCAGATAATCTGTGGCTCCTGTACTCCCATGCCAATTTTAGGGCTGATAGAAGTTATAGTTTAAGGGGCAGAGTGGCACATGATTCCCACCCCAAGCTAGGAAAAGAGAGACTTTTCTCCGTTTACACCAAAACCATAGTATCTGCAGTGCAAAGCTGGTAGGAGGGATGGATATAGGCATTTGTTAGCAGTGGGTAGAGTTTGGTATCTAGCTTTTGGGTGTTTTGAACATTGAACTTAATAAAAACCAAGTTTGTGTAAATAGGGCCAGATTTGGTCTCAGTAAGAGGCAGGATGATGAAGAAAGGGATGTCTATAATTAACAGACTTGAGACAGAACAATTTTTTTAAAAAATGCAAAAGAATAAAGATTGCTTTATTAGAAATGACTTAACAAAAGACTGTATTGTGGAAAAGTTAAGTAATGGATTGGTAACAGTAGGAAGAGGAACATAAAAGCCGAGTATGACCTCCATTGACATAACAAAAAAGTTTTTAACAGCCTGTTTCTAGAAGAAAGAACCAACAGACTGTTAAACACTGAAACAATCTGAGGCAGATTATTTCAGTATCTGATCCCTGAAAAATTATGACAACAGCCCTTCCATTAGTTATGAATTAGGTTAGAACAATTGGTTGTCAAATTAGAATAGGAGATAAATAAATTATTGGGAGTAACAGTCACGTGACATGGACAAATCCACATGCCGCAACGAGCAGCATATATTTGTGTGAAGCCAAGCACAAGTATTGGTCTGCATGGTTCTTGTCCTAATAAGCTGAAGATTGAACCCACAGTATTAGATTTGCTTGTGGATTCTGTCCCTGATTTAAGGGAGAGGAAGCAAACTAGCGCAGTAGTTGCACCCAGGTTCACACAAAACAATGAGCAAATCATTCAATCCCAGGCAAAATTCTGGAACAGATGGTAAAGTGGCCATTGTGCAAGCACCTAGAAAGCAAGGCAGTAATAACTAGAAGCCAACACAGATTTGTTAAGAACAAATCCTGCCAAGCTAATTTGATTTTATATTTTGATCAAGTCACCTCTCTGATAGACAGAGGGAATGCTGTAGACGTAGTATATCTTGACTTCAGCAAAGATTTTGACAAAGTGTCCCATGATATCCTGATTAGCAAGGTAACTAGGTGTGGTCTGGATAGATCAAGTTTCAGGTGGATACACAATTGGCTAGAGAATCATACTCAGAGGGTGATGATTAATGGGTCCTTTTCTAACTGGGAGGACGTAACTAGTGGGGTACCCTAAGGCTCAGTCCTGAGCCCGGGGCTCTTCAATATTGTTATTAATGGAGGAGGGAGTACAGAGAATGCTTGTCAAATTTGCAGATGATACAAAATTAAGCGGAATAGCTAATAGCCTAGAAGACAGAAACAAATTTCAAAATGACCTTGATAGGATGGAGCACTGGGCTGAAAGCAACAGAATGAAAGTCAACAGGGATAAGTGCAAAGTACTGCACCTCGGAAAAAGAAACCAATTGCACAGTTACAAGACGGGGGAAACCTGGCTCAGCAAAACTATGAGCGAGAAGAATCTTGGAATTATCGTAGATCACAAGCTAAATATGAGCCAACAGTGTGATGTTAACAAACTGGAAGAAGCTCAGAAGAGGGTGACAAGGATGATCAGGGGGCTGGAAACCAAGCCTTATGAGGAAAGGCTGAAAGAACTGGGTGTGTTTAGCCTTGAGAAAAGACGTCTGAGGGATGATATGATAACACTTTTTAAATATTTGAAAGGCTGTCATACAGAGGAGAGGCAAGATATGTTCTCGATCATCCCAGAGTGCAGGACACACAACAATGGGCTCAAGTTAAAGGAAGCCAGATTTTGGTTGAATATCAGGAAAAACCTCCTAACTGTTAGAGCAGTAGGACAGTGAAACCAGTTACCTCGGGAGTTGGTGAGTGCTCCAACACTGGAGGCAGTCAAGAAAAACTTAATCACCTGGCATACATGCTTTGAATGTGTTTCTGCATTGAGCAGGGGGGTGGACTTGATGGCCTTGTAGGCCCCTTCCAACTTCACTTTTCTATGATTCTATGAACAAATCTTGAGGCAAACTTGCTGGCCGTGTAAGTGCATGCTGAGTGCATTATGGGCCTGGCTCTTCCTCCACTGTGCATGAATAGTAGTAATAAAAACGCTGCCCACCAGTACTGTCTCAGTTCATGGAGTGTAAGTGTTAAGAAAATAATTCCATTTTGGTTCTCACTAGGCAAGACACTGATTCTATAACCAGAAGCAGTGTAGATACAAGACAAAGAGCCTTGATTCATTCAACATTTCACATAGACTTTGCTTTCAGTTTGTAACCGTTCAGTTGGAAGGTATCATATCATGACTTTGTTTGCATTGCACATTTGATGTCGAGCACAGGCATGTAGCACTGAAAAATGTGTGGTTTGAGAGAGAATCATTGTAAGAGGAGGAAATAGGTATTGATTTTAACCGGTGAGCTCAGCTGACATTCATTTATGCTTTTTCTAGAAGGATATTGTCTGGGTTCTGTGAATATGCAGCAGGGGGCGCTATGATTACATCTTACATAGAAATTCTAAAAACCTGAACCAGAGTAAATGTTTCAAAAATACCTCCTGTTTTTGATGATTCAGAGGTCTACTAAAGATATTAACTCACCTTTGTTTTTGAGTTTTCGAGCAAACAATGTAGCCCTTTACACAAAAGCTGACACTGGAATGTGTTCTATATGTGATAACATAAAACACATCCTTTTGTTCTAGGCTGTTTGCCTGCCTAAGGAGGAACAATTCTGCCACACTGGATACAAAATTCTGAACATCTTTTGTAATTGACATTGATTGCTGTTGTCACTACTTCTTCCGTGGTTTGTTGAATGCAAGATTTGTGTCTGTCAGTGCCAAGATCAATTGGCTCCAGTTAGCTAAGATGTACAGTAGCATGTTCAAGAGTAAATCAGAGTTTTGATTTGTTTTTTATCCCCACTCTGTACAAAATACTGCACACCTCTCTTGCCTTGTTTTCATAATGCCTATTGCAGTATATTCTGTGCAGACAGGATTATCCCCGAAGAGCCTTTGTAGGCTGAAGCCAAAGCAGAGAGCAGTGGCGTTGTTCCAGTTGAAGATGAGTAACAAGAGATTTAATGCTACTGTTTAATTTAGGATTGAGCCAAACAAAGGGCACTTTTTGTCACCCTTTTTTGGAGGTACTGAAAAGTACTCTTGGCACTCCCTTTGATGATTTTTCAGGCATCATATCAAAAATGAGTGAAAGTGTTGCTTAAGAGAATAAGGTGAATTCATCCAGAAACAGGCTACTTTTGCCCTCGTTGTTTTCAGAATTAAGCCTTCTTCAGTTCTTTACTGTTGTGACTTTCTATCTGCCATGACTGATCTGTCCAGCAACATCTGTGG